TGGAAGTCATTCTTCCTATTAACTCTATGCACCGATTAACTGTCCCCTTTCCAACCTACTTCCCCACATCCTCCTTCTCACCTCTAATAACCACTACTCTCCACTACTTCTTAGAGATCAATTGCAATTTCTAATTAATTTTCTTTTTTTTTTTGCCAGTCCTGGGGCTTGAACTAGATGTGGGTACTGCTTCTGAGCTGCTTTTGCCCAAGGCTGGTACTCTACCATTTGAGCCACAGTGCCTCCAGCTCTTTCTGTTTATTTAAGGCCTAGAACCCAGGGCTTCATGCATGCTAGGCAACCACTCTACCACTAAGCCACATTCTTAGCCCTCTAATTAATTTTCTTTTTTTTTTTTTTTTTTTGGTCCGGTCGTGGGGCCTGAACTCTGGGCCTGGGCACTGTCCCTCAGCTCTTCAGCTCAAGGCTAGCCTCTACCACTTGAGCCACAGTGCCACTTCCGGCTTTTTTCTTTTTGCTTATGTGGTGCTGAGGAATTGAACCCAGGGCCTCATGAATGCAAGGCAAGCGCTCTACCACTGAGCCACCTTCCCAGCCCTCTAATTAATTTTCTAATCATACAAAGGATAAGAGGTGTGGGAGTACAGCTTAGTGGTAGAGCTTGTGCTTAGCTTATGACAGATCCTAGGTTCAATGTCCAGCAACCCCCCCACCCCCCCACAAATTCCTTATTTATTTATTTTTGTCAGTCATGGGGCCTGAACTCTGGGCCTGGGCGCTCTTCAGCTCAAGGCTAGCATTATACCACTTGAGCCACAGTGCCACTTCTGGCTTTTTCTGCTTATGTGGTGCTGAGGAATCAAACCCAGGGTCTCATGCATGCAAGGCAAGCACTCTACCACTGAGCCACCTTCCCAGCCCCACACGAATTCCTATCATTACATTATTTCGTGAACCTGTTAGAAATAATGCTTGCCACAGGATCTCACCTAATGTTTACACACACTAACCATTCTACTCATTTTCTGCTGTGGAGCTGGTGAAAAAGCAATTGAAGAAGCACCGTTCAGGGGAGCAGCATGAGAAACTGCAGCAGCTGCTTCAGCGAATGGTGAGTGGTTGATAGTAGTGGGTAGGTGAGGAGAGCAGTTCAGAGCAGGAGGTGGTTGAGTCCCTCCTGTTCACCGTCGCATCTTCGATTCTCAGGAGCAGCAAGAAATGGTACAGCAGGAACGCAAGAGGCAACAGGCATTGCACCTAGCCCAGAAGCAGGAGCGGCGTGCTCTGGCCCAGCAGGGCCATCGGCCCTACTTCATGAAGAAATGTGAGTGGGACCCAACTGTATGGTCAAGTCACTGGGGTCCATGAGATTCTTTAAGGATGGACTCCCTGCTAACTTGGTGAATAGAAACAGTAGCAAGAGTTACAGCCAGTTTTGTGTCCCTAATGAGGTCATGGCAGGGATCATCACGTATCTCTTATAAATCTTTTTATATACACATCGCTGTCTCACCCTCCTCTCTACTTCTGGCCACCCCACCTTCTACATACATGCTAGGTCAGACACTTAGGAACAGCTCAGAGTTAGTTCATTTGATAAGGACTAGAGTCTTGTAAAGAGTATTAGCTTAAGGTGGGCTGGGAAGGTGACTCAGCAGTAGAGTGCTTGCCTCACATGCATGAGGCCCTGGGTTCAATTCCTAAGCATGACATAGCAGAAAAAAAGCCAGAAGTGGCACTGTGGCTCAAGTGGTAGGGTACTAGCCTTGAGGTGAAGAGCTGAGGAACAGCGCCCAGACCTAGAGTTCAGGCCCCATGACTGACCCCCCCCCAAAAAAGTTAGCTTAAGCCAGGTGCTGGTAGCTCATTCCTGTCATCTTAGCTACTCAGGAGTTTGAGATCTGAGGATCTCGGTTCAAAGCCAGCCTGGGCAGGAAGTCTGTGAGACTCTTATCTTCAATTAACCACCAAAAAACTGGAAGTGGCTCAAGTGGTAGAGCATTCACCTTGAACGGAAGAGCTCAGAGACAGCACCCAGGCCCATAGTTCAAGCCCCATGACCGACAAAAAAAAAAACCCTAAAGACAAAACAAAAAAGTTAGCTTAGGCCAGGGATGTAGTCAGTGATGGAGTGTTTATTTCACAGTCATCAGACCTGAGTTCAGCCTATAACAAAACACACACGCACTCACGCACGCACGCACACACGCATGCACGCTTGGTCACATACACCAGTGAGCTCCACACAACTCGTGTCCCAGCATAAGCACTGAGGATTAGCAACCTGAACACAGAAAGGTGGTCTTTTCCTTTGCTCACCAACTTGCTTTCTCCCCTTTCACCTAGCTGAACAGCGTCAACTGGCCCTGGCTGAGAAGTTCAAGGAGCTGAAACGCAGCAAGAAGTTGGAGAATTTCTTGAGTCGAAAGAGACGTCGAAACGCAGGCAAGGACAAGAGACATCTCCCCTTGAGCAAAGAGTACTAAGAAACTGTCTTCTGTCTGCGCTGTCTGAGAAAGACATGGATCTATGGTGACCAGGCTACCTGTTCTTGTTTTTTCCTATTTAAAAGCTCTTGAATTAAGAGAGAGCTCTTGGACAACTCTTTGGGCTGGAAAAATAAGGGGAACAGCCTTCTGCCAGGCTATGCTGCCAGTTTGGATGGTTCATCATGTCCTCGTGTCTGACTATTCTCGCGTCAAGTCAGTGATGCTGGTACAAAAGGAACCGTGACATTTGCTCGTGGTCCCAGGGCTGGGACTGTAGGAACTGTTTCATAAAGTCATGTTACATGTCTTCTTACTCTTCTGTTTTCTTATGAAAGATCTAAAATCAGTGTTTTAGTGGACTCCTAGGCAGGCCCTGCCTTCCTTCTACTTCCTAATCGTGCCATCAAATTATGAATCCTTTGATGGATTCCTTGATTTGGTCAAAGCCCTCATGATCCAGTCACAGCACCAGCTTGGACCAGGCCTTCAACACATGTGTCTTTGGGGGACACCTTGTATCTGAATTGTAACAGTGGGGATAAAAAGTTTCCCTGTTAATATGTGAATATAGTTGGTCCTCTCTTTGAGACTAGAATTTATACAACTCATGGCCTAGAAACCCCTTGTGCTAATAATTTAGTTGAAAGTAGCCTCTGGTTGTTAGTGTCCCCAGGAACCTGCTAGAAGCAAATGCAATCTTTTAAGGAATGTTCTTTACATCCAAGCTTTAGCAAGGAATTGTGGCCTGCAACTGGAGTCCCAGCTGCTCAGATGGTGAGGCAGGAGAATCACTTGAGTGCAAGGTTTTGAGACTTTTCTCAAAAAGAAAAAGAGTTGGTGCTAATAGTACATCCTTGCAATCCCAGCTACAGCAGTAGGCTGAGATCTGATGATTGTGGTTGAAGCCATAACACTAGGCAGGAAAGTCCAAGAGACTCTTACCTCCAGTTCACCAGAAAGCCAGAAGTAGAGCTATGCCTCAAGAGTAGAAAAGCTAAAGGATAGCACCCAGGTCCCGAGTTCAAGCCCCAGTCCTGGCATATAAACAAAAAAGAAAATTTCACCTATGAAGAAAAGAAAGGTCCTGAACCAGTGGCTCATGCCTGTAATCCTAGCTACTCAAGAGGCTAAGATCTGAAGATCACAGTTCAAAGCCATCCCAGACAGGAAAGGCTGTGAGACTGATCTCTAATTAATCACAGAAAAAATCTGAAAGTAGAGCTGTGACTCAAGTGGTCAAGTGCTAACCTTGAGCAAAAGGAGCTCAGGGACAGTGCCCAGGCTGAGTTCAAGCCCTAGGACTGGAAGGGGGGAAAAAAAAAAAGCTGGGTACAGTGTCTGACATTTATAATCCTAGCTAATCAGGAGAACTGAGGTTCATGGCCAGCCCAGGTAAAAATTCATGAGGCCCTCATCTCAATCAGTAAAAATATAGGTTGAGTGGTATATGCCTGTAACATCTACAGCTTAGACTGTGCAGGAACTGTAGGTATAGGAGCACAGGGCAGAATCCCTCAGCCAGTGCATGCTGGCCTGCCTGCCACAGGAGGCAGATCCCAGAGGAGGGCAGAAAACTGGTTCCTGAGCACTAGCTCATAAATAAGCCTGGCTCGCACCAATGAAAGTCAACCTTCTGCTTCCAAGGAGAGGTACCTAAGTGACAAACTGCAGCACCAAATCCAGAGTGCTAAGCCCGCCAGTGATACCCTGCCTCCTGCACCCTCACGGCAGCCAGGGGCCAACAGCACCTGTGTGAAGTGCCTCCAACAGTGAGTGAGTCCTGGAATACCCACTTCTACCTGGCCTTCCTGTACCCTGTAACCCAAACTTTCATAGCTTTCTCCCTGTCACTACTGGACTGTGAAAAGAAATTCAGATTCTTCACTTGTCGCTAGTGGCTCTGCCAAGGACAGGATTCCACTCCTGGTGCAGGCACTAGTCCTCTGCCTGCCTAGCTGTGCCTCTGTAGGAGCAGCATACAAGTCTTGCTTGGGGGCTAGACTGGATTTAAGGGTAGGATGTGTAGCCCACTTAAGCAGAGGAGAGGAGCCTGTAGGAGGAAGAACAAACTGAGCTGGTTTCACTCTGGCCTGCTTGAATACAGGTTCCTGGGTGCTTCCAGTGGCTGTAGACATCTCTTATGTCTGGCCCCTGGACTCAGTGCTGAGAGGTGGCCAGAATGAACTCATTGGCAGCCTCCGCTGTGCTTCCACATCTACTCCCCCTGTCTCTGGTCCAACTCCACAAGGAAAGAAAAGGAAGCCCAGCTTGATAACCTGCCCAAGTTACAAAGCATCTGGCCAGTAGCGGAGGTGGGCTTGGGACTTCAGCCCACCAGGGTGAAAGCATTTCTAAATGCTCATCCTCAAAGAGGCTGAGCTCATCCACAGTCACCTAATCCCTTGCCAGGAAGGGGGTGCTGAGACGCAAGATTCCCTCCCGTCCTTTAGGCCTCACCTTGACTCCTTGCATGCCAGGCCACAGCCTCAGTGCCAGTAGACTCCTTCCCCCAGCAAAGGGAATGCCCCTTCTCCAGACTCACCACACAGCTCACATAGCAAACTCCTGCATTTTATTTCTGTAGAAAGCCCTGGCCAGGCCCACCCTAGACCCCACCTCCAGGGCTATCGGAAGGTGGAGAAGCTGTGAGTGCAGGAGGCATAGGGCACACCCCGGGAACGGATCTGCAGGGTGTGGAAGGTGAGGGGTGGGTTGGGGCCTGAGATGCCAGGGTTTAGGGACTCGGTGTGGGGCTCCATCACGGTCACAGGGACTGCATAGGACAGCATATAGGGCCGATCATCATGGCGTCTCAGTGTTCCTTTGCCCAAGAGATGCAGGATGCACGAGAGGACGTCAGTGCTGTTGCATGCACCTCCCTTGCCAAGGCTGCTGACCAGACCCCTGGGAGGACATGGGCCCTTCTGCCAGGCCTCCAGCACCTGGTACCAGAGACCAAAGGGAAAACAGGTCAGAGGCCCTAACTTTGCCCCAATTGGCTTGCATTCCAGTGATGCGTCCCTGAGACACATTAGGTAAACCCGATTTCACCTCTCCCACATTGACAGGCTGCACCACAAATGCTTGAAACACCCACCACTAAGCACAAGCTACACCCTCCTGCACCAGTGCCTACCACTGCCTACCAGGCAGACAAGCTGGTCAATGTGTAGGCCCTCGTCCCCGTGGGCCTTGACAATCCGGACAACAAGGCAGTTGAGAAGGTTCCGTCTCTTCTCCAAGTTCCGGCCCTCTTCATCCTCAGCTTTCAGGTATGTCTGAGGTGGGACAAGCCACACGTCGCCCCTCCTTGGTCTGGGCTCCTTACTGCCATCTCGTATCTTGAGCACCCCTGAAATAAACACTGGTTGTTTGGCGGGGGCCCTACAGGGGGCCTGATATTGGCATAGTTTGTTCTGTGGCACTGATTGCGCGTACGTACCTCCTGGTACATCCTTCTGCTCCTGAAGGTCCAAGGGGCCTCGTGAAGAGGTGAGGGGCCCAATTGCCTGATTCAACATGTCCACAGGGAGTCCCGAAAGTGCCAATAGGCTCTCAACAGATACCACCTTAGGAGGAAAGGCAAGAAGCTTTCAGGGACTCCTAGAGGTGGAGAGAAGAGGATGAAGGAGATTAGCAAAAGTGAGAAAGGAGAGGAAATGGCCCAGGCTACCTTCAGGTCATTGAGATACAGCAGCAGCCACATCTGCACAGTGGACACATGGAGAGTCTGGTCCCCAAACTGCAGCTCCGCCCGGCCCAGCCATGTCCATTGCAGTCTCCTCTGCAGACCTCGCTCTAGGGTAGGGTGGCTCTGACCTGGAGAAGTGGCAGGAAGGGGATGGGAGACAAAGAGTACAGAAAGCATGGAACATTTTGCCATTGGCCAAGTTTTGCCCTGCTGACCTCAGCAAAACATGTAGCCCCATCATTTATGGATAGGGTGGCTCCAGATGTGAGATTCCAGACCATCTCAGCCTCTCTGGGCCCAGCTCCCCGGTGAATCGTAGGCAGTCCTGAGTCAGACAGGCTTATTTGTGTCTGAGTAGTGCCCATGTTTGTTTGTTTTAAATATATATATAGTGCCTGTACTGAGATTTGAACTCAGGGCCTGTGCATTGTCCTTTAGCTTTTTGACTCAAGGCTGGTGCCTTGAGTCACAGCTCTACTTCAAGCTTTGTGCTGGATTCAGGCTGGTTCTGAACTTTGATCCTCGGACCTCACCCTTTTGAGTAGCTAGGATTACGGGCATGAGCCGCCAGTGCCCAAATAATGCGCTTGTGTTTTTAGGCAGACAAACCATGAAGTGAGGAAGGACCAGCTGAGGCTCTCATCCACCTGCAGTATCTTACGGGGAGCGGAACCTCATTTCCCATGTATCTGGGAGCTCCTGAGGGAAGCTGCTGAGTCTCCTGTTGCTGCCCAGCTCAGGGACCAGCCCCTAGTGGGGAATCTGGGACCATAGATGACTGACTGGAAAAGAACCACACTCCCACTGTAATTGAAAATCTTTCCTGGAGCCAGGCACTGGTGGCTCATGCCTGTAATCCTAGCTACTCAGGAGGCTGAGTTCTGAGGATCTTGGTTCAAAGCCAGCCTGGACAGGAAAGTCCGTGAGACTCTATCTCTAATAAAAACCACTAGAGGGGCTGGGAAAGTGGCTCAGTGGTAGAGCGCTTGCCTTGCATGCTCAAAGCCCTGGGTTCGATTCCTCAGCACCACATAAGCAAAAAGAAAAAAGCCGGAAGTGGCACTGTGGCTCAAGTGGTAGAGTGCTAGCCTTGAG